GGGGGGGCTTGTCGTTAGGAAGTACTTTTGTTGCACACCCAGATATGGTGCTGCCTGCATTGACTTTGGCACTGGTGGGGCACTTCATATCGGGAGACCTTCCGCAACTGTTGTTTTCCCTTCTCCCTGTGCTGCCGCGGCATTTAGAGCAACGCCGTGGCGTTTGGCACAACCATGCATGGCCAGCCAGGTCTCCTCCCTGCAACCGGACCCTGGCAGAGACACTCGGCTACAGGTGCTCCTGTCACTGCCTTCCCTTCGCCTTCGAAGGCAAAGCCAATTCTTTAAAAAATGACGCCCTACTACTGGTACGACAAAGCCTCCCCTGCTTGAGAGGGCAGCCCAACCCCACGTGGGGAGGTGAATCTCCCGGGGCTGCAGCACAGGATCGGCCCACACCGGGAGAAGCGCCCAGCCACCATCCCTGCCTGGCGCCGGGCAGAGAGTGGAGAGCTTCGCCTGGGGCACCCAGCACAGCTGACAGGCGGGTCCTCCTGCCCAGTGGCAGAGCTCTGGCCAAGGCAGCGAGTGCCTCTCCACTGGGCCCTCTGCTCATCAAGCTAGGGCTGTGCTGGAGCCGGGCGGGCTGGGCAGAGTCGGGAAAGTGAGCCACGGGTGCATGCCTGCCTGCCAAGCAAAAGAGCTGGGCCGATCCGAGCTTAGCTTCCTTCCCAAGTCCCTCCAGCCTGAACCTGAAGGGGCCACCGGGAGAGGCTGCCCGAGGCAGTGATAGCGCCTACCCATCCACGGACAGGGAGACAAGGTGACAGCAGCGCTGCTTCCCCGGCCGGCGGGTCCGGCGGAGAGAGCCCGAAGCCGCCCATCCTTTCCACCCCTCGCCCAGCCCGTCCCATCCCCACGCATCTCCAAATGTGCCGGCAGCTCCAAACGCTGCAGTGGCATGGGCATCGGGCAGAGACGCTCACTCGGTGGGGCTCAGCTCGGAGGAGTATGCGGTGCAGGCCTTGCCTCCCTGTCCATGGATGCCTCGGGCAGCCTCTCCTGGTGGCTCCTTTGGGTTCGGGCTGGAGGGACTTGGGAAGGAAGCCAAGCTTGGGTGGGCCCGGCTCTTTCGCTTGGCAGGCAGGCGTGCACCTGTGGCTCGCTCCGGTGCGGCCCTGGCGGGATGAGCAGAGGGCCCGGCGGGGAGGCACTTGCTGCCTTGGCGAGAGCTCCACTGGCGGGTAGGAGGGCCCGCCTGTCAGCTGCGCTGGGCACCCCAGGTGAAGTTCTTCGCGCTCTGCCTGACTCCAGGCAGGAATGGCAGCTGGGCGCTTCTCCCGGGGTGGGCCGATCCTGCGATGCTGCCCCGGGAGATTCGCCTACCCACGTGGGGTTGGGCTGCCCTCTTGGGCAGGGGAGGCTTTGTCATACCAGTAGTAGGGCATCATTTTTAAAAGAATTGGCTTTGCCTTCGAAGGTGAAGGGAAGGCGGTGACAAGAGTGCCTGAAGCTGAGTGTCTCCGCTGGGCTCTGGTTGCAGGGAGGAACCCTGGCTGGCGGCACATGGCTGCGCCAAATGCCACAGCACTCTAAACGCCGCAGCAGCATGGGGAGAAGGGAAAGAAACGGTGGCGGAAGGTCTCCCGATACGAAGTGCCCCACCAATGCCAAAGTCAACATCCAAGCTGTCACCGCCCACCCGCCCGAGGATGCAAGGGGGGGAATTAAGTCACCCATGAAAAGACGCCCTAGCCGTTTTTTCGGGAGTCAAAAAAAAATAAGGCCCGGCCTTATTTTGTGAGAAACACAGTATCTGGACATCTGGACATCTGGCCAGCCATCTGGCCAGTCATTATCTATTATTATTATTATTATTATTATTATTATTATTATTATTATTATTATTATTATTATTATTA